TTACTATATAGAAATAGAACAAGCAAATAAAAGGTACGTACCACTCAAGTTATTGACATTTTTGAAGCTAAATGTGTCAATCAATGTTTTTTGGAAAAAATCCAAAAAAACCGCCATTTATTATTATTTTGGCCGTTTAATACAGATAGTTTTAAAATTGAAATAAAAATACTTTGATTATTAAATTTTATCTTTAAAACTATTCGTGTTATAAAAGTTGGTAGAATCTTATCCACGAGTTAACAGCCGTTAACACGGATAACAGAATCTCTAACCGGAGTTAAAAGTTAACCCCACATATTTAAATAGATATATAGTATCTGTTTAAATACAAATACCAATAAATTGTCTTCGCCTGGTTTGCAAGTTGAGTTCCCCTCTAAACCCAGGATCGAATCCTACCGGTCACACTTTTTTGATTTTTTTTTAAATAAAATTTTTCTTTTTTTCCTTCAGAAAAACCCTAACGCCGCCGTGATTATGATAGGAAAGGGAAGCTGACGACGGAAAAAAAAAAGAAAAAGAAAATTAAAAAATTGTGGCATGTAGGATTCGTTCCCGGTTTAAGATGGGGAATTCAACCTGCTTATTGCCACCAGGCGAAGTTAATTTACATGTATGTACAAGTAAACAATAATATATATCTATTTAAATATGTGGGGTTAACTTTTAACTGTGGTTAGAGATTCCGTTACCCGTGTTAACGGCTGTTAACTCGTGGGTAAGATTCTACCAACCTTTATAATACGAATATTTTAAAAGACAAAATTTAATAATCAAGGTATTTTTATTCCAATTTTAAAACTACATGTATTAAACGGCCAAAATAATAATAGATGACGGTTTTTTTCGGGTATTTTCCCATGTTTTTTTATAATAGAATTGATATTTTAGGTAACAGTTTAGATTTTTCAAATTAGTTTTCACACATATATTCGTAATTCCACGACTTTAAATTTGGATACATTATACATATCAACTTTCATTTTAGCAGATCCTTTATCTATAACCCTTTTAGAAATGATGTTTATGGGTGTGATTGGTAACATGAATTACTATGTGGTAGCATTGAATTAGGAAGATAACTCAAAAATGTTACCAATCATGATTTGTTTTTAAAAATTTGCTTTAGAGGTTGAAGTTTGTTGAGTTATGAATGACTTACATTTTTGAGTTATCTCCTTTGTAAAATTGCTAAATCAAAACTTAACTCAAAAACATGGAAATTCTCATGAGTTAGAATATGGTAAGTTGAGTTATAATTTTTACATTTTAAAAAAACGAAAATTAGTTTTAAATTAGAAGAAAATATCTTAAATTAATTTTAATAATGATAATTGTTTTTATTATTATCTTAGTTTAATTCAATAACATTTCATAAAAAATACGTATTTAAATTCTTAATTTTCTTAACATCTTTAAAATTTTTAATTTGTTTTTTATTTTCATTTAATTATCAAAAACTATTTATAGGACTAGATTTAATACAGATAAAATTTAGAATATGCTAGGAAAATGTAAATCATTAGTTTTATAACTATTATGTAAAAAAAATATATTTCAAATTAATATGTTTTTAGTATTATTTTATTTTATTATTTAATTTGTAAAAAATATTATTATTATTATTATTATTGATATTTAATTAATTAGTTTTAATAACATATACTGCAACTTTTAAAACACAAAAGTTACCAGTCACTTGTATTGATCAGACTGATAACTCATATTTTTACAGCAAAAAACTACATCAGTCTACAGTTTATACCACATAATTTTTACTGTAAATTATAACATCGACTGCAATTCAACCTTAATAACAGGTGTTACCAGTCGGAGCCTCTATTTTTGTTGCATGTACGTTATGTACAAACCAAAATACGTGGCAATTTAATTAAAGTAACATAATTATGCATTCTGCCAAAACTCTGCATTTGGTAATTAAACTTACATCTTTACAGGCTATCGAATCAGCAAGAGGTTTTGAATAATCAAGGCTACTCGATAAAGGATAACTGGCTTTTTACTTCAAAAATGTAAATAGATTAACCATGTATAAGAAAAAATCAAATAAAATCCACCAACTATTTAATAAGTGATTTCTATAAATATGCATGATTCACTTTTTGTTCATATGAGTATACAAAGACAAACATTTAGAAGAGCGATGCAGATTCAATATTTGAACCGATTACGAACCTTAGGAAGTGCATAGGCGAGAGCCGAACCGCCAACACCGGCTCCAACGATGATGACGTCAGTACCACCGTCTTTTTTTCATATAACACTAAATCCACAAGTCCGTGGTTTTCTTGCTCCGGTTGGCTAATTGGAAAAACATCAACATGATAGCTGAAAGATGAGTAAAGGCCAATGGATGATGTCAACTATTGTTCCGTGCTCCGTAAAATGTTGTTTTCGTTTTTGTCAATGGTCGACGTAATATGTTGTTTTGCCATAAATCGTTAGATACTAATTCATTTCTTAGTTGCTTTCCATGAACAAGTCAATGTAATCCTCACCACATAACTTTATCAATGATTGGGATTTGGGACGACGACTACGCTAATATCTTATCTTCGGTGTCCACATTTTCTTCGTATTTATCTTATCTTCACATGAATTCACTATCGTCTTGAAGTTTTCTTCTTCAAATTCACTCGTTATATATATATGGGGAGAGAAGTCAAAACACCAAAGATAAGAAATTAGACATTGTTCTTAAGAAAATAAAGAGAAAATAGTTTCCTACATGCAAGATATCTTTAATAACGTCAGACGGTACGGTGGCAGACTGCTAGACTTGTTGCATCACCCGAGTCTCCAGGAAGAGCGTTTTTATATGACCACCGTCTTAAAATAAATTATTAGACTGCAAGACAAAACTTCTATTTTTCATAGAAATAAAAAGAAAAATTCCAAAATGAAAGAAAAGAGCTTCTTAAATAACGAGTCAGTGAATGAATGTAACGTCTCAATATATGAAATAAAACAAGATTATATAACCTTAAAAAAGATTAAAAGAATATGAAGAAAGGGACATAAAATGCACATGAAAAATAAGAGAAAAGTTGAAAATATCAAATTAAGGATAAAAATAAAATGAAACGTGATCATTGATCAAATAAAGGCAATTCTCACAAATAGCACAAAAATAGATTTTGTTAACAAATTTAACATACAATTTCTAAAGTTCCAAAATAGCATAAATTTAATATTAAAAAAGCTAATATATGTAAGCATTTGATTGACGTTTCAGGTGATCGTATTATAATCGTAATTTCAAATTGTAACTAATTTTTTTATTTTACATAATTAGATAAGGGTAAAATAATTGTTGTATAAACTCACTAATGCTAATTTTAGAAATTTGTGGAATGAGTAATATAATTGTCCATAAAACTTGTAGTCCCTCTGTTTCAAATTATAAGATGTTTAAGATAAAAGCACACATATTTAGGTAGTTTATTTTTCTTTTAGAAAATATGATTTGTTTTTAATAAAAAAAAAAATCCCACCAATCATACAAAATACTGCAAAATATAAATGGTAATAAATGATAAAATGTATTTAAATTTGCATATAAACTTGCAAAACATCCTATAATATGAAACAAAGTAAAATGTCTAAAACATCTTATATTTTGAAATAAATATAATATTTTTTTACAATTCTAGAGTATTTCTTGTCAAATAATCACTTAATTAATTAGAAAATTAAAATAGCCAATTATGTATTTAAAACATATCATTTAATATCTCGTAAACTTTTTTTTTTCAACTGTTCAATTATGCAAGGAAAAATTATACTTTTTTTTTTTTTTTGCCGTAACCCAATTGTGTTATTTTACAAAAAGCCCATCCAACGAACAATCTTCTTCAGCCCATTAGCCCATTAAGTTTAGGATAAAGATAAGAGCTACGTTCATCTCTATGGTCAGAAAAACCAGAGAAAGAAAACAAAGCAATTAATTCAAGAATCTAAGGAAGCTGAAGATGAAGAGAATTCCTCGTATCAAATTTCCTCAGAGACATTCTATTTCATCAGGTTTCACATTTTTTCTTTGTTCCTAAGATTCTCAGTTTTATGTTTTTAGTTTAGTACTACTCATATTTTCTTTGATTCTTGTTTACTAAAAGCTCATCACTAGCTTTATTCTTGTTCTTAACGTCTCCTTCATTTTTGTGTGAATTTTCTCAGGTTCTGGTTCGGCGCCGGGATCTGTTGCCGGCGGTAAGAAAAATGTGACGGCGAGTTCAGATGTTCCGGCGGCTCCGAAGAACACTGCTGAGGGAGGAAAAGCATCTCTGCAGCCGAAACGTACACCTGTCTCCGACAAAGAAATCGAATCTATTATGGTGAGAGATTATATAATTTGCTAACAAACACTTGCATGAGGAAAAAAAAAACTTTTTTGCTGTCATACAATTAGTAACTGAACTCTGATTTTTTTGTACTTTGTGAATTTTTGCAGTTGGGTGGTTGCATTTAACATTTGGGAGTTACGAAGATTTGATCGAACACTTTGGTGTTCTTGTCTTGTCGGCTGGTGAAGTTTATTATGCTGTTTTTAAATGTAAAGAAGTAACTAATAATGTAGAGAATATGATTTTGTAAGAATGATACTCTTTCTCGTTATTAGTATTAAACGATAAAATGCTTCTTTCGAGTTTCTGCATTATTGTCTTGACAATTTTTTATTAAGCCACTTGGTAACAATTTTGAGAGCCAATTAAACGAATATACAAAATTAGGTAAATAACAAAATAATTAATTAAGACCTCTTATTCTCATGTCGCATCTAATTACCTATGTAAACAATATCCCCAAAATTGGTTTGTATAAGCTAATCTAATAAAGTTGTTGACAAAAAAAAAAATTAATTAAGACCTCTTATTCTCATGTCTCTTTCCAACTAAACATAGTGGCAAACGATTGTGTCACTGATGATGCAATTTGCAGCTGCAACTGCATCACTGATGATGCAATCTTACTTGTGAGATTCAGAACTCTAAGATGTTATTTGAATAAAAAAAATCTTTGTATTTGATCACACAAAATGCCAAACAACGTTAAAGACTGAAGCAACAAAAGAGCTTGAAGCAACAAAATACACACAAGAGCTTCACGACCCCAATAAAACAAGCTCATTCTGTTTTACTTCTGCTCACACGACCAGGTCAACAAACAAACAAATTTCGTTTTAAGAAAAAATCAGATCTCAAGTTCTTGAGACCAGTATAAAACAATTTATGTGCTTTGTATCTTGCTGCCAGATGACTGACTATAGCTCGGTGTCGCAGAGACGGATCATTATTTCAGAGACCATTCTCCGTGCGAATGGAATATAACTGAGGCTGTACCTGTCATTATAATGTGTATAGGAAGATGTTCAATCCAATAAGGCTTAAGAATCCTTCTGGTCCTTATAGAAACAAAACCCTGTTTTGAGTTAAAGGTTAGCATTTAACTTACCATATTAGTGCACAAATCTCGCATAGGATCGCAAGGACGGTTAAAATTTTGCTGTGGATCTACATGAATGGGAGAGAATTAAATTCAAGCTGACAATTATTGGGGACAAACAAATTGCTGATTTTAGACATTACTCAGATTGGATCTAATATTGGCACTAAACATAGTTATTGGTTGTTGTATGAGAGAGCAAGTACATACCAGGAGAGCACAAATGAGTGCAACAACGACACATCCGATATAAATGGACGTAGCTAAGAAACGAACAGGGTCAAACATCATATTCATCTGTTGCTCAGGTCCCATGAGGAAAGCTGTGCTGCCAAAGAAACAGTGATCTTTGTGGTTTAAAAAAGAATAACATTGTGAAGGTAGAAATGGCAAGAGATTTTGTTAGATATAAGACAATATCATCAGATTCTTGCCAATGGAAACAGCTTTAATTGAAGTTACACAAGCAAGCAAGCAACCAAGCTTAAAATGGGAACAAATCTATAGCTCTAAATTTTGATCTTTCAAACAGAATTCCAGAAGCCGTAAATGTCATACAAAGTAAAAAAATTCCATGGCAGGAATCATGAAGAAACGCTATGAAATACCTCGGTTAGCTGGACACGATGAAAGTTGTAAAATGGCTTCAACTATAATAAATTGGAGTAATCATGTTTTCTATCTACAATCTCAGAATGAAATTTTCACCTATAAAATATCAAGAAGTAGAAGCAAACGAACCATGCCATTATGGGAACCAATTAGCATTAGAAATCAAAATAACTAAATCTAACTGAAATCCATCCCAAGCACAAAAAGAACTGGATTTAGATATGAGCAAAGAACCATTCAAAGCAGAGTTAAAATTCCATGAAATGGCCAAATGTTAGTCAAACATCATGTTTTCACCCGACAAAAACATACCTTCCAATAGCTAGAACATTTCCAAATGTGAAGAGCAATGCAAATTTGATGGGGATACCAAATACAATCATCGACTGCATAAGAAGAAGAAGAAACAGAAAAATGAAATCACTTCTTCTATACGGTCTAATGCTGAACAAGACCATCTCAATTAGATCAATAGAACGTGGCTAACAAGAACATCAATCAATAACAAAGCCTATAAGAACAATCCATCGGATTTGTGAATCTAACAAATCGCAAATTTTCTCATTCTATCAATGAAATTTGATATTTTACCAGGAACATAAGCAGCAAACCAGTGGCTAAAGATGCGGCGAATCCGTACATTCTCTGTAAAATCGAAGAAGATTGATTAAGTAAAGAGAGAGAGACCAAATATTAAACCTTAGCGATATCGACATTGAGGAGAAACCTGGGTAGTGGAGAGAGCACAGAGACCCTCCGATCCTTCTTCAAGGAAACTATCGGTTGTTTCTTCGCCGTCTCCGCCACCAGAGAAGAAGTCGTTGAGCTTCTGCATCTCGATTACTGCGTTTTCCGATGATCGGAGAAAAATTATTAATGTGAATGCAATTGTGTCAACAACTCTGGGCCACTTTAAGCCCAAATTCAACAAGTAAAATTAAGGTACGACTTGCTGATATGTAATTAGTGTTGTATTTTTCATTATAATAGTTCAATTAGAAAGTTAAATTATGAATATAATTTACTGTGTCCATCTAATATATATATGGCCATCAAAATCAATGTCTAAAGTTTATGACATAATTAAGATGGATACAGGAAAATTTGCAAGAATAACCAAAAAAAAAAAAAACTTAAATTAAATTTCTAACATGCAACAAAAAAAAGAGTTGATATTTTCCGTATTTTCTGTATTTAGGACAATTTTGTCCCTGTGTGAACACTCTTCTTCCATCTTCCTTTTCCTCCGTCTTCTTCAAAGCCACCATCTCTGGCCGTCGCCGTCTATCCCTAGTGACCATATCACACATCTCACCAATCTCTCCTCCGCCCAACGATGGATCTCCGATCATATTCAACCTCACTTTCCCATCCCATGTAAGTGTCTTAGTTTCGCCGGAAGTTAATAGAAGATAATACATATCGATCTGGAATCGTCGATGGAGAGAGGCGGAGATAAGGACGGTGTTAAGGGATTGAAACGGCGGTGCCGGCAATATCAACGGCGGTAGTTCCGGCGACGAGTGCTCCGGTGGCCGCACGTCCATTTCCTTTAACGAGAAAGGAGTTTATGGACTTTTTATTTCCCTCTTTTCTTACTTGCTTAAATCTCTATATTATACTGCTATATATTTAATTACTTTATTCAAAATGGTTAGTTTTGCAATTCACCATAGATATACAAAACAAAACAAAAAAACAAAAAAAGGTGGATATACAAATATGTATATATATATATATACAAAATTAGAATATGAAAAAAAAATTTGGAAAAGAAAACAGAAATTACACTAAACTGGAAAACTGAACGAAATTTTCAGCCGACAAGGATCGATAATATTGATGCCTAGATTTCAATGAAGTATTTGTAAGTTCCTTGACAAAGGAAAAGCATTCTCATGCCGTTAAAGTTTGGGAGTTAGGTTGTTCTCACGACGAATATAGAGTTTATTTATTTTATAGATGTGCCATGTGAAAGTCTGCCTACGTAGAGATCAGGCCATTTGTAGTTCATATTATAATAAGTGGGAGCTAGTCCATCATTGTTGCTAGGCGATCTGGGCGACGAGCTAGGCAGTTTAAATGACGAGCTGGCAGCTGGGCGACGAGATAGCAGTCAAGCGACGAGATGGACTAACATAGCAGTTGGACGCCAAGTTGGAAAAACTGAGTAGTCAATCAACGAGATAGACAAACAGGGCAGTTGAGCGCCAGTTGGACGAACTAAGGAGTCAAGCGACGAAATGGAAGAACAGAGCAATTGAACCCAAGTTGGATGAACAGAGTAGTTGTTTGAAGTATGAGTTTCTTCTCCCATCTTTTTTTATCTCTCCCTTCTCTCTTATTGAGGTGCCTCTCTATTTATAAGAAAACTAAGTTGGTGATAAAATCATGGACCTACTATCATGGGTCTTTTGGGCTTGGTTGGCTGCTAATGAAGTTAATCTTGATTTGGGTCGGACTAAAATGAAAGGCATGAACTATGTCCAACAAAAACCCCTCTGAAAACAAAGGCGACGAGTTTAAAGAAAACTCGCGGAACCAAAAGCCCGATTAACGAAAAATGGCACTACGAATAAACTGAACACCAGACCAAGTTTACAAAAGACAACAACACTATAAATATTATCAACAACTTCTTTCTTCTTCAATTTACTGGTTATTTTCCGAGATTGGAAGTTGGTTCATGGATCTCCAAAAAAGGGCGCTTTTAGAGCTAGACTTTTGGTCTTATAGTTCTCACTTGATTTTTTAAAAATTTCAAAAATTAGATTTCTAGAGTTACCTAAGAACGGCAAGACGAAATCTATGTAAAAAGAATTGAAACCATCAAAAGTTGCATGGACCGTGACGCCAAATATTAAGTCGATTAGATCATGTTCGAAGGAGTCAAGAAACATCAAATCTCTCCCAGATTTAGATCGAGATCGATAAAGAGAGTTTATTTGAAATATTTCATATTAATGGTTTATTGTAAAAAGAAAAAATTTTGAAGAATCAAAGTGGAAGTAATTGTCACTTTGAAGGGTTCTTTCGAATATTTTTCATATGTATATATTCCAATTGGAAGTCACATGAAAAACTTTTTTTCCTAGCCCATATGAAGAAATATTAAATGGTGGAATTAATTATAGATTTTGTCCTTTTTCAATGGCATTTGTAGAAAATGCCTTTTCTTCTTAAAACTTTTATATTTGCCATTTCTCAAGATTTAGAAACATAATGTTAGGGATTATGTTTGGGTTTATGAAGTTCCCATTTTTTTGTAAGATGTAGAGTTTAGGGTTAAATGTTTATTTCAAAAAAAAAAAAATCTCAAATGTTAAGTTTTTAAAAATGGCAAAAAGGCCATAATCCACAAAGTCATTAAGAAAATGGCATTTTCAAAAGATTTTGGTGAAAAATGTCAAAATCAACAATAATCCCTTAAATGGTAAGGTATGCAGTGTACTGTATATAAATTTATCTTATTGCCACTTGGTCCATAGGTCTTGGATTTAAAAAAGCTAAAAAAAATTATGAATGCAATTTTATTTTCGATTATTGTAGCGATAGCTAAAGTCAAACGATTATTTTAACACTGCCACTTAGAACTTATAAGAAACCAAATTGATAAGCAACAATAAATTGTGTTGACCATGAGTTTTTAGAACATATAGTAATATCTTGATGCTTGACATTTGATATTTTTATCTCCCTCCCTTATTCTTAAGCCTCCAATGGCATTACATGAATATGGGTTAAGCGAATAGAGTAGTGTAGAGTATCGTTGACCTAAAGTATAAAATTCAATCGCAAAACTTTCCGACAGAGATATATAACCTTATAATTAATTAACGTAGAGTGTCATGGTACAAACATATAGTGTTAACTATGCTGGAGAGTAAATACAACTTGAATACAAAATATTGTTATAGTCTTTATCTATTTAGAGTATGTGCAATTTGAATAAAGTTATACAGGACCTACAATCTATTATAATTCACAATCCCCGAAATTTCCATTTTTTATCAAAAAAAAATCTATTATAACTTTATAATTAATTTCAAACGCAAAATATTTTTGGTAATTTCGAAAGGAGTTGTAAAGGAATAATTATGAGTTCATTTTAGACTTATCCAACGTTAGTGTAGGATTTTAATACAACGTTAACGTTAGTAATACAAGATATGATTTCAATGTAGACTATGCTTTAAACATATTCGGTTGACTTTGTGTCATGATGTGAGTCTATTATGTATATCAGTTATCAATACTTTTTTTTTTTGGGCAAAAATTTATGTATATCACCATACAAATTTAAATTCTTGTATATATATTAATACAATTAATGATTTAGTTTAGATATATAGTTATGTGTTGGATTTAATTTCTTGTAACTAACCTTTTACTTTAGTTTAAAACCAATTTGTTGTTAAACCAAATTTTTTTTTTTCTTTATTGAGTTTTATATATCATGTGGGACTATTGGTTTGATGATGGATGAATAAAGAAGTCTTGTTTGCTTTATATATGATAAATCGAACCAGTTGTATATGCTGTCAGAGACTGATTCAAACTTATTAAATGTGTTTTTAATTGCCAATTTGTAGAAAATTTGTCAATTTGTAACTAATTAAGAAGTAAATAGTCTGGCTCAGTGTTAAAGGGATAGGTCTCAAAGTCTCCGGATTCAAAAAGTCTTCATATTTTTACCATCTATAAATAGCAAGTGCTTATCTGTGTAGTAACTCATTAGTTTTTCTCCTCTTGAAAGAAAGAATAAACAGAAGAACAGAAGAACTCTATAGGATCTCAATTTTTTTTGTTAACCTTAGGTGCATCTAAGCTAGAGAGTTAGAAAGAAGTTCTCGAAATCTTAAGTTTACTTAAATCATATTCGATTAAATTCGAGTCTGATTGACCAGTAAGACCACGGAGAAGGTATTCTTTAAAAACTTAGTATGTTTATATTTTATTTTATCATTTTCTGATTTTTTCTTTCCTTTTAAAAAGAAATCTCTGTACTTTATGTAATGAGTGAATGATTAGTCATATCAAAGCCTAGAAAGAGTTCCTACAATGTTTTTGTATAATCTGTCCTTTAAAAACGATAAATTCAGCTTTTTCTTTTTGCAGTTTTAATTTTTGGTAATCACTAATCAGGATCTATACCGAAATACTAACTAATTTACACAACATGCATGTATATGAAAGTTTTGGCAGTGGCCAAAAAGAATAGTGCATCCATTGAAATTGATTTTGTTGAGTAGTTTAATTATCCTCACAGTACCAAATAAATGTACATTACTAAAATTAAATATATGTAAAGATGATATATGTATAAATTTGTAGAACATTTGTATTTTGTTCTTTGCCATTTGATTACTAACTGGCAATCTAATATAGGAAGAAGAAGAAGAAAAAAAATGGGACGAGGCTTCAGAAAAAGATTAGGAGGAAAAGCGATAGCTTCAGAAGATACAGATACTTTCAGCATTTTTGGCCCCTTCCATCTTACATCTATTGACTGGTAATATTTTATATTTTGATTAGTATAACTTTGTTTTTTATATGTGTATAGAAGAAGATGGGAGTTTTCATTAAAATTATATGAATTAGTAAAAGTTGACCTTTGACAATCAATATCGATACCAACTAATGAAAATGAAAAACAATATCCCATATCTATCTACTCGTCGGAGTCTTAAAATAATTAAGTTTTTTTTTTTTCTCTAATAGGACCAATCCGTACCATCGAACTTCAGTGGCATCAAGTTTGGTAAATGGAGTGTACACATTGGAAGCGGACAGGCTTGAGGAACGGGTAGGTTCTGAAGCTCTAGCCAAGCCCTGGTGGGAATTTTTCCACTTCACTTTACTCGAAACCTTGAACGACGATGACAGCTCCATATATGGTGCCATTTTCGAATACGAGCTATACAACCTTTACGAAAATACCCCTCATGTGAAAGTTCCACGCTATGTGATTGCCTTCCGCGGCACGGTTTTAAAGGGAAAAACTTGGAAGTTTGATTTGAAACTTGACCTCAAATGCATCTTCAACACCCTCCATCAAGGTAATAGGTCTATGTACGCCCTGAACGCAGTCCGCCGTATGGTGGATAAACACAACCATTCAGCTATCTGGCTTGCTGGACACTCTTTGGGAGCCGCCCTAGTGTTGTTGGCTGGAAAGACCATGACTAGGGTTGGATTCTTCCTCGAAAGTTACATATTTAACCCACCCATCTCTTCTATTCCTCTAGAGCAGCTACCCGGGGGCGATATAATTAAAGGTGTGTTTCAAATCGCCAAAAGTGTCGTCAAAGCCACCGTAGCCATGGCCTTAACCGATCTACAGGTAAATAAATAATCTTTATAAGAAATTTAATATGTTTGATCTGCTTAAGAGTCAATATAACAAGTTTCTTTCACTTGCGATTCCTTGTTGGCCACTCCAAACTGAGTACTATATTCAAGTTGATTTTCTTACAAGAAACTGTTTGTCTTATATTATTATACAGGTTCCAATAGACGATCCAAAGACAGCATCATGGATACCTTATTTATACGTGAATCCAGCAGATCCAATTTGTGCAGGATACATCGATTACTTCAGACACAAAACCTTCATGTCTGAGATCGGAGCAAGCAACATCGAGAGAACCGGTGCTAGAAAGTCAGTTAGGAGTCTATTGGTGGGAAGAAGAGGAAAAACATTATCGTCCGATTTGTCATCGGAACCTCTTCACCTTCTTCCATCAGCGGATATGACTGTAAACAAGAACAAACCGACTAAGTCTACGACAGCTCATGGACTTCACCAATGGTGGGAGCGAGACTCGACACTGAGGGAAAATTGGGAAAGCTGCTGCATTAGACCTTACCCTGAAGACAAATTGGAGCAATTGACCCTCCAATAAACAATAATACAAAGGAGGGTCATATATATAAAATAGTTATTTGGTTTGGTTAAATTGCTTTATAATTTATATCTTAGTCATGTGATATTTTAGTTCCAAACCCTCTGTCTACCCTTTTCCATTTCTTTTACTTTTTTGTTGTCTTCTATTTCATGTCTGCCTCTCTTTCCCATGTTTTAGTTCCTTATTTTTCCATGTAATTGTTGATAATTATTTGAACTATGCCGATGATGCGAACTACATCTTATCTTTACAAGTATAATTATTTTCTCCATTTGATTTTGTTTTGCATTTCCTCGTTTGATTTTTAAAGATATATTATGAATTATTGCCTTTTTAATCACTCGTTGAAAAGTCTATTTTCTGTACATTGAAAGTTTGGACTAGTCTTCAATAGCAATATTTGTTTTTTTAAAAATAGAATTTGTTTGCGAATCTAGTTTTGATGAGAATGGCAGCAGAAAGGAGTACACTTGATAAAATCTAGTTTTGATGAAATTGGCAGCAAAAGTGAGTACTACTAATCCACTTATTAATATGTTTTTAATTGCCAATTTGTAGGAACTAGGACCTTGTCAAATGTAAATAAAGAGGTTGTTGATACATTCTGGCTCGCGTTAATGCTCGTCTTGATGTTAAAGGGATAGGTGGTTCCCAGGGAGGTCTCAATACCTCCGGATCAAAAAAGTCTTCATCATCCTAGAAAAAGTCTTCAGATTTTAGCATCTATAAATCGTTCTTTTATGGAATTCTTGAAAGAAAGAACTCTATGATTGCTTAGTGGGATCTCTTCCTTAACCAGATTCTATTGTATTCGATTCTGATTGACCTATAAAACCACGGACAAGGGTATTTTTCAAAACCTTTTCTTTTTCTTTATGTTTTCACCATTTTTCTGTTATTTTCTTTCCTGTTAGAAAGAAATCTTTGTATTTATATTGTAAAGAGTGCCATGAAAAAAGCCAAAAAAAAGTTCCTACAATGTTTTTGTATAATCTGACTTTTAAAACACAGAAGTATAAGCTTATTCTTTCTGTAGTTTACTTTTTGGTAATTAGAGATCTTGATCGAAATTAAATTTAATTAACACAATATGCCTTTACTATGAAAGTGTTGGCATTGGCCAAAAAGAGTGCATCCATTGAAATTGATTTTGTTGTTTTCACTTGTGAAATTCTTCCCTCATAGGAAGAAGAGGAAGGAGCGATGGCCTCAGATAGAGATGCTTTCAGCGTTTCTGGCCCCTTCCATCTTACCTCTGTTGATTGGTATATATATTATATTCCTCTTTCTTTCTCATTTTGATTATTTCATTTTCAGTTTATTTCTTTTAATTTATTTTCATTTCATTCTTATTGATTCTTTGATGGTCACCACCAATCGGAGTTTTAATTAATGAAAATAGCCTTTTGAGAAGAAATATCAATACCTACTCATTTTAGCTTCTAAAAATATAATGGTTTTGTTAAATAGGAACGATTCTTACCATCGAACTTCAGTGGCATCATGTTTGGTAAATGGAGTGTACTTATTAGAAGGGGACAGGCTTAAGAAAAGGGTAGGTCGTCCCGATTCACGAGCCCCGGCTTGGTGGGAATTTTTCCACTTCACTTTACTCGAAACCTTGATCGACAACGACGGCTCAATATATGGCGCCGTTTTCGAATACAACAACTACAACCTTTACAAAAACACCCCTAATTTGAAATTACCTCCACATTATGTGATTGCCTTCCGCGGCACGGTTCTAAAAGGAGAAACTTGGATGCCTGATGTGAAACTTGACATCCGATGCATCTTTAATAACCTCCATGGAGGCGGCCGGACTATCCACGCCATACAAGCTATCAGCGCTATGATTGACAAACACAGCGAATCAGCTATATGGCTTGCTGGACACTCTTTGGGAGCCGCCCTAGTGTTGATGGCCGGGAAGACCATGAACATTTATGGATTCCTCCTCGAGAGTTACATATTCAACCCACCCATCATAACTGTTCCTCTGGAGCAGCTACCTGGCGGCGGTACACTTAAAGGTGTGTATCGAATCGCCGAGAGTCTCGTCAAAGCTACTGCAGCTAGTTTCGAGATGGCCTTAACCAATCAACGGGTAAATAACTAATCTTTTTACGAAATTCAAATGTTTGATATACATCAAGATAACTGGTTCAATTTTATTTTTTTTGATAACTGATTCAATAAACTATGGTGGTTTAGTCAATAAGAACTCATCTTGTTAGCTCGAGGCCAAGATTTCCATGTTGGCCAAAATAAGAAAATTATTGTTTAAAATATCTATTAAAACTAGTTTATAGTTTATTTTCTTACAAGAAATTATTATTAATATTATTATTATTTTTTGTAAACCAATACGTTTGTCTTCAAATATTACAGGTTCAAGAAGATTCTAAGACAGCATCGTGGATACCTTATATATATGTGAATCCAGCAGATCCAATTTGTGCAGGATACATCGATTACTTCAGACACAAAACCTTCATGTCTAAGATCGGAGCAAGTAAAATCGAGAAAACCGGTTCTAGACATTCATTTAGAACTCAATGGAAACGAGGAATAGGAACATCATCACCACTGTCCGATTTGTCAATGGAACCTCTTCACCTTCTTCAATCAGCAGATATGACTATCAACAAAAACAAATCGTGTTCGTCTATGGTAGCTCATGGGCTTCACCAATGGTGGGAGCAAGACTCGGTCCTAAGGAAAAATTGGAAAAGCTGCTTAATTAGGCCCGACCCTGAAGGCAAATCTTGAAAGGATGCATCAAATGATATATGCCTCTTATATATATGTTCTGCTGATCTTTAGTTTGGAACACTTTATTTACCCTTTTTCATGGCACTATGGTTCGTTTTCTTCTATTTTGTGTTTGCCTGTCTTTTCCATGTTTTGGAATCACTAATAATAAAAACTGATTGTAGTTGGATTTCAATTCTATTAAAGCCTGTTTTGGTGAGATATCCGACTTTTAATGGTGATATGTTTTGTACCTCTTTCAATCATTTTGTTGTCAATTGCATGACTTATATAGTTATATTATATAGGATATATGATTAATTTCACAAACTATACATACATAAGTAACGCATACATAGTTAAAGCAACATGTATGAAGAGTAAAGATTCATTCACTTGAATGTGATGTCAAGATAGCTAAGAAAGTTATGGTAAAAATAAAAAAATCGTCGTTGTCAAAAGAATTAATAGGTATGAAAAATAAAGACTCATTCACTTGAATGTGACGTCTGAATGTTACTTATCGATACTCGATTTTACATTAGACCAACTATGATTCATCACTTTAATTTTGAATCATCACAGCTAAGTTCACGAGTTGGAGGTTTTCAACTTCAGGGATGAATCGAAAAAGAATCTTTTGTCTCGTCGTAGCCTGCTCCAGTCCCTTTAAGTTCACCTTCACAAAACAGGACAAAAACATTGACAAAGCAAAACATATCTGTATAAGTGTATTGATTACCTCTTTCTTTTTGTATGCAAGACACCGTTTTCGCTTGTAGTGACTAGAATTTCTCTTTCAAAGTAGCAAAGAAATTACGAAATTGTTAGACAACATACTTAACTTCAATATGAACAACAAAATGATTGATAGATGTAAGAGATTGAAAAAGAAACACAAATGGGAAGGGGGAGATAACCTGTAGGGAAGAATGCATGAGATTAGAGGGAAAGATTACTTTACCTGACCTCTCATATGCTCTTGGAATCGCCTCTGGAAATTAGGTTATGTACAGCTCAAAAATACATGACCTCTCTTGGCTACTGAATCACTTTCTTGAATTTTTGTTCTTTGTAGATCCACTCTCTAGTATCCAAAACATTTTGTTAGCAATTATTATGGGCACAGACTAGTACGACATACAAACAAGAAAATGAAACTACAAAACATGGTAAGAATCTTACAGAGCCTGACTGGTTGTTCATCAAGTTAGGAAAACAATCTCACTCAATAGACGTTTGAGACGGCATTAAGATAACAAAAAGATAACCCAAATCATCTAGGCAGCAAATATGATTCAAACAGTGTTTCAACACTCACATTTGCTCCTGACACGGAATTGAGATATGAGTTGTCACCTGATTGCTGAATCATTTACCAATCAGATTGATTATGTTAGAGCCTGGAAATGGAGACATAAACATATAAGCTATAAAGATGTTAGAGCTTGGAAATGGAGACATAAACATATAAAGATATAAAGATAGATAGCGAAATAAACAAAGTGGTATAACCATATATTCTTCTTGCATGAATTTCTTCTTCACAGATGCAACGAAAAGTGACACCACAGCCATTATTCCAAACCCCATTAATCCGGATCATGTAAATATGATGGTTTCCTTCAAATCCAAGCCACAACCAAAATGATGCAATGGAAAAAAAAACGGACACACAAAATAAAGTTAGAAAAATCATTCTGCTACCAAAATTAGTGGTGTAAGAGGAGATGAAAAACATTAGTCACCTTAGTACTGATCAGGAAACATTTGGTTGCCTCATGTGTAAAAGACTCTCCAACAACTGAAATCCGATCCATGACATCGTTAGTATTTTACCTTGGAAATCAAGATCTAATAGAGAAATACGTTGTGCTTTAATTAGTTCCTGCAAGTTATAAATCACTTTAACACATCAGACAGAAAAAGATTTTATCAATGTATGTTTATCTACCTGACCATTCTTTTTTCATGGATATTGAAGGCCTTCTTAAATTTGATTCTTTTCCGCTCAAGTATCATGTATCTTAGTACAACACTATTATGATAACAGTCTACAAGATAGCAAGAACATAAAAAGTACAAACTCAGAAATGAGACGAAGATGTTTACCTACCTGACCCTTCCCTTTTCCGAGTAGGCTGAATCAATTTCTTATGTTTAGTTATTTCCTAAGAATCTTCTATCTTGAAGTGATTAAAAAAGAAAAACATTGTGTAAGAAATACACTAAATACAGAAGACTATAAAATAAAACCACAAAAACAATGCTAATGTAGAAACTTACTGAAAATCTTACGAAGTCTGATGCAAGTCAGGATTGGTGTAAGAGGAGATGAAGAAAATCAGTCACCTTAGCACTGAGGAAATATTTGGTTGTCTCATTGGCAAAGGATTCTCCAACAACTAAAACCCATCCCTGATATTGTTAATAGTGTACCATGGGAATCAAGATCTAATAGAGAAATATGATGTTTTATTAGTTCTACAAGTTATAGATCACTTAAACACGTCAGACATTTCCAGAAAAAGTGTGTTTATCTACCTGACCCTTCTTCTTTTGGGGAGACTGAATGGCTTTCTTAAATTAGGTTCTTTTCCGCTTAAGATCCGTCTACCTTGTTATAAAACCATTATACAGTATTAGCAGTATACTAAATACACAGGACCATAAATAAAAACTATGAAAAGAGACAAAGATAGTTTATCTACCTGACACTTCCTTTTTATGAGTCGACTGAATCACTTTCTTGTTAAATTATTTTCAGCCTAAGAGTCCACCATCTTGATATAAAACCATTCTATTAGCGGTATACTTAATACAAGACTATAAAATAAAACCAAAAATAATGCTAATGAAGAAGGAAATCTTACGAAGTCTGATTCCGGGATTCGACTGATTTGCTCCTATTGTTTCTATTAATCTTGACAATGAAACAATGTCCATAGCTGAAATGTTGAAAATGTTTATTAAGTATGACAAAACCAGCTTTTACGATTAGTTATGTCCTTTATCAAGTATGTATTCATAAGAATATATGAAGCAAAAGTAATTAAATGAGAAGAAATCAAGAAGCTTTATCCTAAAACTTTAGTATTTTTCTTGGATTTTGAATCATCACCGATACCCCTTCACTTAAAATCACATGACGAAACATATCTAAGTAAATACATTGTTACCTCTTTACTTTTGTATGCAAGACACCGTCGCTTGTAGTGGCTTGAATTTCTCCTTTGGAATAGCATACAAAGTACAAAATTGTTAACAAAAAAGATTAATAGCTGTAAGTTGTAAGAGACAAAGAAAAGGAAGAAAAATAGGAAGATAAAGATACTTACCTGAAATTGACTTGGCAACAGAATCTCAAAATTCTTACCAATAAAAAAAGAAGAATATAATCGTGACGTTATAGTTTTTTTTTGTTTTCTTGTGTCTAGTTTTGTGTTGTGCTGTATTTGATTTCTTTTGTTATGTTCTGTTTGAGTTTTGTTACCTTTGAGTGTGTTTGGAGGTTTGTTGCGTGAGATGTGATTTGTTTTTGGTAGTGTTTGAGTTTTGTGTGTTTATGTTTATGCTTGAGTGTTGTAGTCTTTGGGTGTGTTTTGAGTTTGAGTGCATTTTGTTTGAGTGATTTCCGTGTCTGTTTCTTGATAACGTGTGTTTTCAGATAGTGTGAGTAACCCAAACAAGCCAAGACTCAGCTTTTCAAATGCAAATAACCTGTCGAGCTGACACAATAAACATGAGAACAGAGTGAGAGATATCTGACCTGTCATATGCTCTTAAAGATATCAGCATGAGGCAAGAAACATGACCCCCTTATTAGCACTTACTACTGAGCCAAAATTTCACCTGAAAATACAACACACAAACCATAAAATGAAACCACAAAATCAATGCCAAGAAGAAGAAAAACTTGGTACAGAGCGAAAAACAATCTCACGCATGAGGAACAAAACGGCAGAGAACACATTATGATAATAAAAAGAACCTCCAATGCATCATCATCTAGGCAACAAATATAAATTTATACAGTGGATTAGAACATAAATTTGCTCCTGTCTCCAAATTGAGATATGAATTGCCACTTGATTGCTGAATCATATGACCACAAAACTCATTAGAGCTTGTATATATATTGCGACATAAACATGAAAAACAAGAAAGACAGGATATTCGAGATAAACGATGAACATAACAATTGACATAGAATCACAGATAAAGACAATCCAAACCATAGCCAAAACGATGCAATCTAAAACATGGACATGACGGAAATTCTCTAAATCGTTACTTTTTTACAACGAAATGAAACCATTTAAACTCATCTACTTCAACAAATAACAGAGAAGTTTGATAAAACAATTCCATAACATGAAACTCTTATGATCACCAAATTAAAATCCATGTACGCGATTGATTATCCTAATTGGTAGATCTCATAACCATCAAAAACAACTAAATTCCAACAGAAATCAAGCAAACAATTTAAAAACTAAAACCCTAAATTCCCAAATCAACATACACAACGATCGAAATCTTGCGCACCTTCTTCGATTTGGTAATACTATCACACGATCCGAATCCAATCCGCGTATCCATCGTTAGATTATCACCGACGACCCAAAATCGAAACCCTTGGATTCCCGATTTGAACTAACCCAACGAATCAGACGCCACTGAACATGAAATTCAATTGATCGGAGAAAAGAACCAGAAGAAGATCAAAGAACAAAATCGCTTCTCCACGCGAATTCGAAATGAATTTTGAAATTTCAATATTCGCTGACCGTTTATTTGTGGAAGAAGAGTTTACGTTGCCAAATTACGAAACGTTTAGAGAAGCGAAGCAGCTATTTATGTGATTCTTCGAAACAAAGAGCACGTAGATTTACGTTTATGCCCTTATGTGTATATATATGCTCGAACGGCATTATTTTCAAAATTGTGTTTCCCCGCTTTGGGGATATTTGGTTAGAATCCCATAAAAAACTTTGGAGATATTTTCATTTTCTTCCGTCGGCCATTGTGATGGTCAACTCGATCCGATCATATCACCGGATTTTCAGACAGATCATGGGATTCATCAATGGTGGAATCCAATGCTTGGACATTCTTCATACCAAATTATAGGCCTTGATTGGCAACGTATAAATTGCGGAATTCAAAAAGTTTTATTGAAAAACGCACCTAGTCCCCCAAACAGCAAAATACTAACAACTAGCGTTTTTCAAAAAAAAAAAAGAAGAAAAAAAGTTTGCGGAATTTAAGACAGAGAAATAGACTGGACCGCGTTTCCATGCTGCCTCAATGCTTTACCATGCGGTCCGGTATAAAAACGCGATGGATAATAACTAGATTCTTCTCTTATTAATTTTTATTGTTTTTAATATAACAACTTTGCCTATATATAGCTGTCCTACGAAGTACATAAGCAAAAAACTAAAGAAAATTTTTCCAAACTATCTCCATAGTCCTTTCTAACTATTTTTACACTTAAGGTAATTTTCTGATTTTTTAATCACATTATGGTAACCAAACCATTTTTTAAATGTTACCACTTTTATTGTTTTTTTTGTAGTAATAATTAATTAAAGCATGTATTCATATGTTCATCCCATACATTACATATGTTTTTCTATTTTTTAGTTTCTAATAATTCAAAACAGATTATCTGATTCAATATTTATAAATCTATGTTTTCTTAATTCAAAATTTTATTATAGTAATAAGTTATGTATTTTATTAATTTGTAACTAGATAATTATCATTAATTATCATAGTGATCGTTAAAATTTTTATAAATCATGGAATCTGCATGTAAGAGTTAAATTAATATTATTCGTTAATTTATAATTCAGTTTACTTAGTTTGTCTAAATCATATATATTCGCTAAATCATATATTTATTTATACAATATTATTATAATATATATATAGAGACATTGTTTTACTTAAAAATGTCTCACTACTTACAAATATAGTATAGTCATTGTTAAATATATATTGAAAAACAAGTCTTTTTAGAATTTTTTTTTAACTTACTTCACTATTTTTCATAAACTATAAAATAATCAGTTTTATTACGGAAAAAAACAGATTTATAGAAATATAAAGAAACTATAGTCATTTTTATTAAAAAATATGGTTAAATGATTTCATATTAACTATATAATAAATATTTCAATTATTTTTTTTGTTAAATAATTTTAGTGTAAATAATATACTTACTAAATGATCTACTATATTTCATACTGTGATATTAACATATTGATTTATAATATATGGTTTAAATTTTAAAACAAAAAATTAAATTTATATTTTGATCAATTTGTGTATTACTAATGATTTATAAATTTATGTTATTGTTTATTTATTAACAAAAAAATTAATTATTAATATATATATATATAAAACCGCTTTTGTCCTGCAAATAGCTTTTTTCACCAATCAAATTTTATTTCGTACCGCTTATTTTATACAAACCGCACTTGTCCCGCAAATATATTTCTCCCGCACGTCCCGCAGTTGAACCGTACCGCAATGTAATACCGCACTTCTCCCGCACCGTAAAACACAGTTACCATTCGGAGCCATAGTATGACTTGGGCTTTCATCGCTTCAGTTATTTTCTTGTCAATTGAATCTTCTATACAGGGCCGGTCCTAAACTTTTAGTGGCCTAAAGCATAATTAAAAATGTGATATTCTTATACTTTAAATATTATGGACAAAAAATATATATTAAAGTATTAGAATTACATACTATAATTTTTTTTATTAAATATAGACATAGAGTCAATGTTTTCATTAAATATTTTAATAAAGTAAAATAATCTTTTTTAAATTTCACTTATTAGTTGTTAGTTTGGTTTCGGGAATTAAAAAAAAAAACACTTAATAGTTACAAAATTAGATGAGAAAGTACAAAAAAAAATATGGAAAAGAATGCCAGGAAGGAAAAAAAAAAAAGAAATAAGAAAGTGGAAAGGAAGGCTCAAACCTGGGACCTTGGATCTAAAAATGGGCTATCTTACCACTAGACGAAACTGATAATTGTAAGAATGTGGCCTTTCAAATTTAACTTATATGTTGTGGCCTAAAACAGGTGCTTCACGTGTTTTATGGACGGACCGGGCCTGCTTCTATACAAACATCGCTTCAGTAATATACACATTTTAAAAAGACGTTAAAGAGATTATAAAAAAATAAAAATAAAACCATGTTCAGTCGCTTTACTAGTTTACTTGCATGTGAGAAAAGACGGTTTTGTTGAATTTATTTATTTTAAAAGATTATTCTCATCTCTTGATGATATAAATGTTCATTTTTCTTTTTCTTTCTTTGAGAATTTGGTGAGTAAACAAAATTGGTTAAGCAATTAAGAATATAGCTATGTAATGTAGAAAACAAAAGCAAATTATGATTTGGATTTGTCTTTGGGCAAACTATAAATCCTCGTCAGTCGTCACGTCGATGGCGTCATACAAGTGTGTTAGCAAGAGTACGTGACCATAGAAAAGAGAGAGCTACATAGAAGGAAGAAAGTTCTATGAACTTATTACTACTTCCCAAAAATATGTCGCTAACATATGGACCCTCCTAGAAAATATGCATGCACCACCAAACTGGACTTTGTGTTGCAACTTGCAATGATAATACATATTACTAGGATATGACCCGCGGTACACCGCGGGTTAATTATTTGATTTTTTTATTTTTATAAATTGATGAATTTATTGTGTATAATATTTTTTGTTGTATACCGCGGGTCACATGCGTTGTATCTAAAATAAAAATTTTAAGTTGTATTTCTTTTGTTTAGTGTTTAAGATTGTATAATTGTATTTTGATTTGTTATTTATAGGATTTCACCTGTGGTATATTGTCTCGTAGTAATATTGACCCAAACCCGTCCAACCATATAATCTACAATGAAATTAAACATCATTTTGTTATTTTTTTAATAACACTTTTATTTAAATGTCATATAATTCGAGTTAATTTGAAAGTTGCTTTCAAATAGTTTCCATGTATATTTTTAAATTAGTGTGTATTTTTGGACCAACCCGTAAAAACAATTTATAATTGTATCTTAAAATACTAATTAGGATTTCACCCGTGATATACTGTCCCATTTTAGATAATTGTAAAAATTAAAGAAAGATCCGAATGACTCAATTTCGGGTCTGAATAAAATAACGACATGATTAAATGCTCAATTTGTTCTTAAAAAATATTAATATAGATTACACACATATTTTTTTATTCATCGATTGAGTAATATATGTCCGTTTTAAAAATTTTGAATTGTAACATATGCAAAAAAAAAAAACTAAAATTTACTAACTATTTATATATTTTATAATAATTTAAAATAATATAAATATAAGATCAAATAAAAGTGAAATGAGAATCATATATTTATGTTTAAATTAGGTAGAGAGGTTTTAGGAAATTAGTGCAAATTTGTTATATTAGCATTAAATCATCATATTTGATTTCTTTATCTATAAAAATCGTGGAGAATATACCATAAATAAAGCGTTTAAATATAGTAATTAGTTGAGAAAGTATATATATTTTAGATTTTATTAATTATTTTCGTTTTTTAATTTTGCTAAAATTTAAGGAAAGATCCGATTGAAGATTTCCAGGTCAAAATTAAACAAATTTGACCCGATTAAGATTCTTTAAAAGTGTTGCAAAAATGTATAGTAGATTTTTGAATATATTTCTAATGATAATTTATATATCCTTCTACAAAAAGCCCAACCATATATTTTTTCCTCTCCTTTTCTAAGTTGTAAGTTGTAACCGTGTCTTGTAGTCGAATTCATTGCCCACTTGAAAAAAAAAATATATTTTAAAAATCATATTATGCAAACCAACCCATGTGATCCCATATAATGGACATATCTCGTATTTCAATAATAAAAAAATTAGAAGAAAAATAAAATAAGTAAAGGAGTTTATTGATTTATGGATTTTTATTAATTCAGTAATTCAAAGCAAAATTATGTTTTATTAGATCATTGATTTAAAAACTTTGTCAAAATAATGTATTATTCATTAACTGATTTCTAAATACTAGTTCAAATCATGATTTAATGCTGGATTTCAAAATCTACATTAGATGTTAAATGGATTTAAAAGTAGAAAATAGAATGATTTAATTTATGGATAAACCATGTTATCTTAAAATCTATATGTCTAGTTTCAAAATTGATAAAAATTCACAAATCAATAGGAATTTTATCAGCAAAAACTCAGCATTTTGGATAAGGATAAGAGAAAGTTGTGTTTCCACGTTCACAACTAGGCCATTTTAGCTTTTGGTGTTGTTGTCATGGGCTCTACGACCGGGGGACTTTCATTGGTTGGTCGTTTTTTACTTCTCTTCTTGTTTCTCTTTTGTATATCGGTAATAACTTCTGATCCGATCGATTTTAGACTGATTATATTTGGAGGTGAAGGTGATTCTTCTGACTTTCCAAAAGTTGTAAAATCATCAAATTTGGTGCAGGGTAAGGCCTTTAACAGATATGAAACTTCAAATGTTTCAAAATTGTTCAAAATGTGGTTTTTGTCAAACTACCCAAAATTATGTAAAGCTTAACACCAAAAATACTTGAAAATAATCTTAAGATCCTTAAATTTACGACAAATACTTGATAGTTTTTTTTTTTTTGGACAAACAGATTCATTCATTCAGATAGAATTAGGGAACCGTACAAGAAAGGAGAAGAGCCTCCTTTGCCAAAGCATCAGCTTGGCGATTTCTAGTGCGAGAAATGAAATTAAAAGAGCAAACATAAAAGAAATTAAAGCAGAGATAGAGTTATAGAGAGGATATCGTGGAGAATCCCGAGAAATGAAATTACTAGATAGTAACATTAGAAAACTATAGCTAAACATGTAAAATATTATCATTTATCAAACATATTATCATATGAAATCTTAAACTTGAATACTACCTTATACAATTGAATAATATAAAAGGACAAACGTTCATTTGAAATGTGCTATCGTAAATGTTTCGAAGAATTGGTTAGGTGTGTTAAAAGTAAGATATTTTTATAGTTTTATATTTTAATTTATCATAACGGACACTCATGTCAAATACGAAACAAGATATTTGAGTTATCCTTTCTACTAATACTATTAATAAATTTACATAAAACAAAATTCATTTAATAATTTTATTTACAAACCAAACCAATATATCATCAATATTATGTCTTTTATTTCCTGCTAGTTGTTGACTACTTGACTTATAAGGTCTTCTAAGAAAATTCCACAATTTGAAACTTCCTCGACCATTCCTCAAACTAAAACTAGTATTACCTATTTATGACATCACTTTTATGCTTAAACGATACCTACTCCTATATATAAGTGTGTACTCTATTTCTTGTTTGATGGAAATACTTTTTTAGTGTACGATTAAATGCGATTATGATCGAACTTCAAGAATCCAGACCATGAAAAAGGTACGTATGATCCCATTAAATTCAATTTTACTCTAAATTTTTGGGTACTGTTTTAAAACGTCATCTAATCTACACATTCTATTATTTTAAAATATGTGTTTTTTAAGTTTTTTCTTTTCTTTTCCCAGTTATGTTTTAAGTTATCTCTATTAATTCTTACATATAAGCGATAAGAAGAATTGAAGACGAAAGTGCGAAGGAGGAGCTGATGGGAATCTTAAAAAAAAAATACACGCAGTGACGATTTAAGCCGTTCTGGTCCCCCTCAAATTCCATCTCTTGACTGGTAAATTTCGTTTCATCAATACCTTTTTTTTTTTTTTTTTTTTTTTTTTTTTTTTTTTTTTTTGTTTCATCAATACCTTCCGCTTCAAAATTAATAATATTGATTACGAAATATTATTAACTAATGTAAAAAACGAAACTATAATACGTAACTGTTTTCGGAAACAAAAAGAGTTTACGTCATCAAACAGAAAATCTTTACCTCAATTTTTCTTTTGGCCCCGATGTTTTTGCACCAGCCGTTTCCTAGGAACGACATTTCCACTATTGCGTACTGTTTTGTTTTTTCTTTTGACTTCATCACTTCAACGTATATTTGCATGTGCCTATAGAATTTAGATATAAATAACATTTCATAATGATACAAAAAAAAAAAAGATAATAATAATAATATCCATATCTACTCGATCGTTTCTATGGTCTAAGCTGGTTTGTTTCTAATAGGAACGATTTGTACCACCGAACCTCATTGGTGTCATGTTTGGTGCAAGGAGTTTACGCAATGGAAAGAGACAGGAAAAAAAACGAAATGGTTCCGAGTCATTAGCCACACCTTGGTGGAAGAGTTTCAACTTCACTTTAGTTGAAAGTGAAACCCTATATGACGCACGTGACGGCTCCATATACGGTGCTGTCTTCCAAAACGTGATCAATTATGAGAATACCCCCGACTCGATAGTACCTCCGCGTTACGTGATTGCATTACGCGGAACTGCCCCAACTATGAATGATGTGTTACATAACATCCGTGTACCATTCGAGACCCTCCATCACGGAGATAGGTCTAAGCATGGCATTGAAGAAATCCGTTCTTTTGTGGCCAAACACGGAAACACAGCTGTCTGGATCGCTGGACATTCTCTAGGAGCTGGCCTGGCACTACTCGCCGGAAAGAACATGGCCATGTCTGGACTCCCTGTTGAGGCTTACATCTTCAACCCACCTATCTCCTTGATTCCTATAGAGCAGTACGGTTACAATCACACACTTAATTGTGTGTATCGATTTACCAGGGATATCTTCAAAGCTGGCATAGCCAAAGTCCTAGACCTTGATGAGGTATCTATAAAGTTTTCTTTTTGCCAATGCTATTTTTAGTCTCTAAGAAACTTTTCATTATACTTGTGCTACTTCACAAATAATCTCTCCCGTAACATGAAAAGTTTTAAATAGATAATCCTTAACAATATTACAGCATACTCAATTCTGATGTAATATGCTCAGAATATATTGGTTATTTCAATCACGTAGTCAATATGACGGAGGCGGGACTCGGTGAGATTTCGAGGTTGGCTAGTGGATACTCAGTTAGGCGTATGTTAATCGGAGACGGAGAAAATTGGTCCTCGTCTTCTTCACCAGATCATCTTCATTTTCTTCCGTCGGCCTTTATGATGGTAAACAAGACTGAATCGTCGGAGTTTTACGATAACCATGGGATTCATCAATGGTGGAATCATATGCTTAAACAATCTGCAACGTTTAATTCATACTAGTTTCTTTTTTTTGGTTTAATGTTAAAATTCATACTAGTTTCATTCATGGGATTCAACGCTTTTCTTTCTTGTCAACTGAATAATTTGTTAAACTGTATATCTTCAAATGTTTTTTTCATAATAAAAAGGGTAAATTTCAAGTTATGGCAGTTGACCAAGTTTTATTTTCAAGTTTTGGCAAAGTGAGAATGAGCTTTCATGTTTTGACATTTTGGCCAAAATCGGACCATTTTACCCCTACCGATGTACTGTTCACTGTACGGTTTAGTTAAGCGTACGGTTCAGTTAAGCGGTTCACTGTACGGTTCAGTTAAGAGGTTTAGTTACGTACACTGTTCCGGTTACGCAATATATTTCGCTCTTAATTGATTTTGTGCGGGAGTACAGTGACAAGTTGGGATTAAAAACATTAAAACACAATGAGACATCAGTATTTAATGCCCAAAAAGTTTAGACATGACTCATGTCACAATTAATGCAAAAGTCATCATTACTTTTTCTAATATTAGTTTTTATGCGTGAATAGTTGTAAGAGACAAACATGATCCATGAAACAAACAAATTTTTCTGAACGAATGTGATTCTGCATCGGTTTGATCTTCTTGATTTACAAAGTTTGGAGCCAAGACAAGCATTGAACGTGTAAGTAATGAAATTGGTTAAGAAGTTTTTTGTTTTAACACACTAGGGTCTTGATTGTGTGCTAAGATCAACATTGTTTTTATATAAAAACCCAAAATATTTTTATTTCCACTTTTTTTAGTTGAAATTGCTAAATGAGGATAGATTTATGTTTATAAGTGTGTAGTTGGGAATTCTTTTTGTTTTTTGTAGATATAATCATGCTTTCATTTGCATTTAATGGGGTTCTGCTGAATTTATGATGCAGGTTGGTAATGGATATTCCCGTATTTACTATGGTGGGTGAGTGGAAATGCAAAGAAGAAGAATGGAAATTTAAACCATGGGAAGGCTGGTTTGGTCGTTGTGTACGTGTTAGGCAAAACATGACGTACACGGCATTTGTACGTACATTATGCGAGGTTTTCAGTTTGAAGTGCACCGAATGCAATCCAATAATTAGTTACTGGATGCCGGGAAAGATGTCAGTGATGATAGAAAGTAAACGCCCTCCTGTATACATTGACAATCAAATGAACCTGGATACATTCTTTTTGATTCGTGGTGGGGATCCTAGTGTCACCTTGTTTGTCTCTTTCAAAGCACTCGGGAATACTGTCCCTAGGACCGATGGTGAGAGTTACCGTGTGTGTGGGAGTGCAACGACACCAAATCCCATCGTAGCGGCTTCAAATGTAGATGGAAATAATGAGGCCGTAGATGAGCAAGACGACGTTGAAGACGATAAAACAGATGAGGATGAAGAAGAGGAGGAGGACAACGAAGATGGTGCTGGGTATGATGATTATCAGGGTGATGATGGATCTATGGGGGGAAGTACCCTCGATCCTACTATAGACGGTAGTGAAGGCAGTGGCGAAGATTACGATTACAACAAGTGGAACGATTTAATTATTGAAGAATATGGAATAGGGAATGTTGAGGAGGACGTCATTCTCACTCAACAAACGGTTCAACATCCAGGGGAATTCAGTCGTCTATTGGCAGAGTGTACGTACACAAGTCATCGTGTACGTGGGGGAGATAACTCGGTTGACCGTACACCAACGGTGACTCCAAGACGTACGTGTCAACATGGTTTGTACCAATGTACGTACACAACAAAATGTGTACAAGATACAGGCTGCGAAGGTAACACCGATACCAATATTAATGGTATAGACGATGTCTCTGGGGATGATGTTATCGAACGTGGTATTGGAGATTCCCCAAGTGGGACACTGAATGATAATCGGCTAGTTACTGCACCTGACGGAGATAACATTTCTCATGTGACCGTACACCAACGGTGACTCCAAGACGTACGTGTCAACATAGTTTGTACCAATGTACGTACACTACAGAGTGTGTACAAGATACAGGCTGCGAAGGTAACACGGAAACCCTTTCACATTCGGCAGTTACATCAATCAAACACAAAGTCTTTCGATTTTTCTTGCTAACCGTGTGATGGACGGGTATCACACCATCTCCGAATTGTATCCTCAGATCACTGGGTGGACAATTTGTGTATTTGTCGTGAGAGTGTTTAAGAAGTTTGTTGCGCCCAACATCTTCGAACTCGGCCTTATCTTGGCAGATAATTTGGTAGTTTCCCTGTGCCGTGTTTGTGTTTTTTTATCATACGTTAGGTTCAATTCTATATAAATCAGTATTTAATGCCTAAAAAGTTTAGACAAGACTCTTGTCACATTTAATGCAAAACTCATCATTACTTGTTGTAATATTAGTTTATACGTGTGAATATAATTGTAAGAGCTAAGCATGAACCATCAAACAAACAAATTAGTCTGAACGAATGTGATGCTGGAGAAGTTTTGATCTTGTTGATTTACAAAGTTTGGAGCCAAGACAAGCATTGATCGTGTAAGTAATTAATTTGGTTAAGAAGTTTTTTTTGTTATAACACACTACAAAAAAGACAGAAAGACTCTTTCCGAATCAGTGTACAAGATGTAGAAAAGCAGGTCATAACAAGAAGACTTGCAAAAATCCTATTTAGTTTTATGTCCTTGTTTTTTGTCACCGTGTAGATAGTGTACGTTTATGTCTGGACCATGTGTACCACATTTTTTGTCGGTGTACGTACGTTTAATGTTTGCCATCATATAACTATGTACGTTTCTGATATGTCTGTGTACATAAAATAATTCGATATTTTTGTGAGAATTGCCCCTCCCTAGGTACAATACTTCTCTTTTCCTGGGCTCTCCAGGCTGCATCTATGACCGATATATAATTCATTTTTCTTTCATTTCCCAGACAAACCATGAATACTTCATAAATTAAAAACCCTATTCTAGGAGTAGAAAACGTAATTATATAAATCCATCCCTAAAACGCATTATAATTCCATAAGAACCGTATATTAATAACATATTTTTGTTTCCACATTAAAACCCAAGATTCCAAAAGAATGTAAAACCGATAAACTGTGAACATAAACAAATTTGTCTCCAAACTAGTAACATATATAGAACTATGTGTCTTGTGTTTGATATTGTTGTAACTGTTATATAGCTTCTTTTACCTGTTGGAGAGTTATAATGCATAATGGATGTTACTCTTGGAATATATATACATAGATACGTAATTGGATCGGCCGGTTATGATTTTGCTAAGCCAAGACTAAACATTGATTCACATTTGTTAAAGTTTTTTTTTTTTTAAAATGAAGTGTTTATCGTAAACTAGGAGGGTGTGCAGTGTGCACTATGTCTGGCATTTCGGATTTTCTGGTTCAGTTTGGTTGAATGTTTACAGTTTGTGAAATGTCTGATCAACTAAAACTGAAATTAGTTTGGTTCAGATCAGGTTGTCAACAAAGGGGTTACCAAATTGAAATCGAAATTGTATCTCATTTCAGATTTTTGTAATTTCAGGTTTCTAATTTTGGTTTATAAAATGGCATCTGAATCAGTCTATTTATTACCCATAACACCGGTTTGTTACAAACCGGGTATCTTACACAAACATTAAAAGAAACAACTGGTCTTTGTTCTCTCTTAGCTACGAAACAGATCAGCACAAACCTCGTAAAAGATCTCGAGAATGGCAGACCGGTATTCGCGAGGGTTCATCGATAGATAGTACTCCAAGAGGCTTCTAAGTTCATCTGCTTCTTTGATCTTGTTTGCCACAATCATCTCAACCATGGAGTCTCTAAAATCCTCTCTTGGATCAAAAGAACATTTCTCCATCGCCATCATCACTATGAACTTAGTGCTACTGATGCTACCCTCACTTCTTCTTCTTCTTCTTCTCATCTTTTGTTGTCTTATCTTCTCTTGATGTGTGGCTTCTTGTGTCTCTCTGATCATCTGCTCTAGCTTCTCCTGAACCATGTAGTGTGCCAAGCTAGAGAGCGAACCGTGCTGGTCTGAAAATCTTGAACTCTTGTCTGATTCTGCCGAAGAACAAGAAGAAATGCTGAGTCTTGCTTTGTTACCGCAACACAAAGCTCTGCAGATTCTTGGTTCTCTGGTTTGGTGTTGTGATTGTTTGTTCTCTTGCCCTGCAGTCACCTTCCTTGCATCTAATAAATCAGATTTGTTTCCAGCAAGGGCCATGACCATATTAGGGTTACCTATAATATATTATTTATTTAGTAAAACCAACAAACAGAGACTAAAGCTAGACAGTGCCTGCAACTGTTAGTCATAAACTAACAAAGAAAAATCAAAGCCATAACTTAGCTATACAATACCTTGTGCCTGCAGTTCCTGAACCCATTTCTTTGCCCTCTCAAACGAGGCCTAAGAAGATAGCAAAAGATTCAAATAAACATAATTTAGTAGAACGCCACTGAATTGCATCTACTGATCAATAGAGAGCATGGAGTTTTATCATTCTGTACCTGATTCGTAACATCAAAGACAATGATTGCAGCAGCAACACCTCTGTAGTACATTGGAGCCAAACTATGGTACCGTTCCTGACCCGCTGTATCTCAAATCTCAAACTTGACAGTTGCATCGTTGATAGCTAACGTTTGTGAGAAAAAAGCAGCACCAATGGTTGATTCCTATAACATAAACAAATATCAAAGTCAAGAAGAACACAAAGAATGTGAAAACAACAAGATGATCATTATAACAGAAGAGCCATTAACCTGGAATTCAACAAACTGATCTTTGACAAAACGTAACACAAGACTTGATTTTCCAGCTCCAACATCTCCAAGTAACACCTGAAGACTTAACCAAGTAGTACACAGAAACAAATCAAAATAAGTAAAAAAACAATCAAGAATGTTTGCAAGCATCTTCATATCTATAATCCTGGTTCGAGATAAATCACTAAAACCCTATTACGAAAACACCTAAATAAAAATCCAACATAAACCCTAACAACAAAATCCGATCAAAATTCTCCAAATTAGAAACAGAATCACATCCGGAAACTGAAAATCTAACAAAAGGGTCTGCAAATTCAATCAATTTCACAATCATCGGAGAGAAAACAAAAAAAAATTCAAAGGGAGCTCAAAAGAATCGAGCTAATAAGACTGACCAATTTGGCGTTAATGCTCTTGTTTCCAGCTGCAGCCATGGATTTATCGATCTGAAGAGAATCGGATCCCGATAATGAATTCCGTCTCTCTCTCCTTCTTCTTCTTCGTTTTCTTCAACAGTTTCTGCAACGAAAGTTTTTTTTTTTTTTTTTTCAAAACTAACTAAACCGTGTGATGTAAAACAAAAGAAAGCAACTAAACCGAAATTAACTCTGTTGTTTAGTTTTCGTCGTTAAGGGTATTTTCGTCACAATTTGGCTTAACTGCCACCACGTGAGAATAAATTTTCACTTTGCCAAAATCTGAGACCAAATCTTTTTTCTATGCTAAACGTGAAAATAACTTTAATAAAAATATGTTCAAAATTTCAAATGTTTGTAATTGTACAGACTACTAGAGTGTTTTAAAATACATGTTGGAACTATTCCGATGAAGATAGAGGTTATGTTCCATGCATGCATCCAAATCGTATATATTTGTTTGCTAAACCACGAGATAGAACAACCGTTTTTGAACACGATTTGAAAACATTTGGAAGATATTATTTTTGAAATTTTTTATCAGCCACATAAGATTTAAGATGAAAAATGGAACGTAAATACATTATTTTGAATATGCATATACGTACGTGTGTATCTAAAATATTCATCTTGACTTTTCATGTGAATAAATAAAAAAATATGTATTTTAGCGAAAAAAAATTGAAATTGAAAATTTTTAAATCTTCAAAAATGGTAATCCGTAAATTTTTAGAGAAAATGACAAAATCCATAAATGATACTCCAAAAAATGACAAAACCCGTAATAATCCCATTTAATTTCACTTATAACAATGTGTAGATAAGGTCAAATGATAAGCAGCAATATTCCTTTATTATTTTTTGTTATATATATGTATATATATATATTCCTCTATTTCTAATTAATCCATGTTTCTAATTAATCCTAAGTAATATATAAGGGATATGGACCACTCCACTCATTGTCAATTGGTTTTGAGTTGGAAGTCCATAGAACTTAACATGGTATCAGAGCCCGATCCACACATGTCCAACCCGATCCGACCCAAAGATGGTCCAATCATCGACAAGGCCCAAAATTGATGCCGTCGATCTAAGCCCGTACATTCCGAGATTAATGGCCAAAGAGTCATCATCTCGAGGGGACGTATTAGGACATAATGTCCCACATCGGAAGTTGGAAGGGATCCTAAGTAATATATAAGGGATATGGACCACTCCACTCATTGCCAATTGGTTTTGAGTTGGAAGTCCATAGAACTTAACAACATGTTTTCAATTTTCTAAGTGTAGTCATTGTTCTTTTGCTCAATTTACCTTTATGATATTTATTATTTAAACAAAAAAACTTGTGTAACATTTAGTAAAAAGCAAGATTATAGTTGTCATTTCAGAAAACTTATTAATTTGTATGAAAAAACCTAAGAAATGAAAAAGATGCCGTATATTTTTTTAGTTTTAGGAGATATGATGATACTTGATGTTCAACATTTGATTATTTTGACAGTACATGAATTTGGGTTAAGTGAATATGGTAGCGTTGACATAAATTATAAAATTCCAACTTCTAATTATATTGGTAATTTGGAAAGGTTATCAATTAAGGAAACCATGATTGTGAGTTAATTTTCATAGTGTATATATGGTTTTAATACAATGTTAGGAAATCATAGCGTATGATTTTAATCCAGAGTTTATGTTTGATCTTATCGGTTAGTGAATAGTCAGGATACAACATGTAATATATAAAAACATGCTCTTCATGATGGAGCGTCGTACGTATGTGACTCCAATCTTTTACTAACAAATCTTGGAAATGGCGTGAGGAAGATTGGTTTGACCCCATAATCAAAATTTTGTTTTAGGGTTTATATGACTATTTTAATTAGTTTGATTATGTGTCCCAATAAGAAGAAAGAAGATTTGTTTTCCAAACACATATAGATATGATTTGATAAATCGAAACAGTAGTACACGGTCTCAAAGATTAATTCACACATCTAAGTATGTTTTTAATTGCTAATTTGTAGAAATTTTGTCAATTTGTAAATAAAGAAGTAGTTGATACGGTCTGGCTCATGTCAGTGTTAAAGGAACAATATCAAAGCTAAGTCTCCGGATCAAAAAGTCTTCTTATTTTTAGCATCTATATAGATAGCAATATGCTTATCTGTGTAAACTCAAACCCAAAAAAAAAAAATGGAGGAACTCTTTAATTAGTTTGTTCTCTTTAAAAGATTACTTCATTCGATTAAGTTCGCTCCTGATTGACCACGGAAAAGGGTATTTTTTTTTTTTTTTTTTACTTTTATTTTCCTTATTAATTTTCACCATTTTCTCTTATTTTCTTTCCTTTTTAAAAAATATCTTTACATTTTTTTAAATAAAAAAACTGCATTTTATGTAAAAGAATGACTGATATATAGTCATGAAAAACCCAAAAAAAAAAAAAAAAGGAGAGTAGAAAACACATAACTATGAACTTTTCTTTCTTTAGTCCTAATTTTTGGTAATCATACATTTGCATGTTGTTCTTCAACGTTTTACTTAAAATTAGTTTGATTACTAATTGGCAATGTAATATCTTAGATTATAGGAACAGGAAGAAGTAAAAATGGGACGAGGTTCTCTCAGGAAATTGATAGGAGGAGGAGCGATGGCCTCAGACTCAGATAGAGACGTTTTCAGCATCTCTGGCCCCTTCCATCTTACATCTATTGATTGGTAAACCAACTTTAAAAATATGGTTTTAAATTTACTATTGATTGAGGTGGTATATGAAACGAGTTTGAAAATTGATGTAGGAAATAATAAATTAGGGAACTTTTTTTTTCTGGCTCAAACAAAACTTTTCAATAACCAAACTATATAACTTAAAGCGTTACAAAGTTATATTTTTTTTTATGATAGACACTAGAAGTTTTTATTTTTTGCTATATGAATTCATGTGCCGTGCATGAGTTTCTTAGTAAAAGTTGTCCTTTGGAAATCGAATATCGATAACTCATTTAAAATTAAAATTAATATCCAATATATTATTTAAAAATAATTGTTTTCTATTTCTTTAATAGGACCAATTCGTACCATCGAACGTCAGTAGCATCAAGTTTGGTAAATGGAGTGTACACAATGGAACGTGACAAGCAAGAGAAACGGGTAGGTTCCGAATCACAAGCCATGCCCTGGTGGGATTTTTTCAACTTCTCTTTAGTCGAAACCTTGATTGACGACTACGACGGCTCCATATACGGTGCTGTTTTTGAATACAAGCTCTCCAACCTTTGCCAAAATACCTCACATGTGAAAGCACCTCCACGTTATGTGATTGCATTCCGCGGCACGATCCTAGAGTCAGAAACTTGGATGACTGATGTGAAACATAACCTCAAATTCAGCTTCAACACCCTCCATGAAGGTGGTAGGTCTTTGCAGGCCATACGAGCAATACGCAATATGGTGGAAAAACACAACCATTCAGCTATATGGCTCGCTGGACACTCTTTGGGAGCCGCCCTAGTGTTGCTGGCTGGAAAGACCATGACAAGTTTTGGATTCCTCCTCGAAAGTTACATATTCAACCCACCCATCTCGTGTATTCCTCTAGAGCAGTTACCTGGGGGAAAAAAGATTAAAGGTGTGTTTCAATTCACGAAGACTGTCGTCAAAGCCACCGTAGCCATGGTCTTAACCGATCTTCAGGTAAATAAATAATCTTTAGAAAAAGTTAAAAATGTTTGATCAACTTAAGATAACTAGTTTTCATAACTAATTAGGATGGTTCATCCATTAATTAAGACTCATCGTTGTGTTTATCAAGTGTCAATAGCTCAATTGGTAAAGTATTTCAAGCAAAGTTTAGAGGTTGTTGGTTCGAGTGACACTTAGGAAGATACCATATATAGTAAATGCTCTTGTCCCCGGCTTTAGAGAAGTATACGGACCAGAATCTCTTATCGTGTTAGTCAAAGGCTAAAATATCAAGTTTCATCCGCTTGCGATTCCATGTTGATTGAGTTTTTAAAGATATATAATACTAGTTTCAAGTTGATTTTCTTACAAATGAAACCGTGTTTGTCTTAAATTATTACAGGTTCAAGAAGACGATCCAAAAACAGCATCATGGATACCTTATTTATATGTGAACCCAGAAGATCCAATATGTGCAGGATACATCGATTACTTCAAACACAAAACCTTCATGTCTAAGATCGGTGCAAGCAAAATCGAGAAAGCCGGCGCTGGAAAGTCAGTTAGGAGTCTATTGATGGGAAAATCATCATCATCGGATTTGTCAACGGAACCTCTTCACCTTCTTCCATCAGCAGATATGATTGTAAACAAGAACAAACCGACTAAGTCTATGACAGCTCATGGACTTCATCAATGGTGGGAGCGAGACTCGGCCATGAGGGAAAATTGGGAAAGCTGTTGCATTAGGCCTTACTATGAAGACAAATTGCAGCAACTGACCATAGAATAAACAATAAAAATGAATGTCACATTTGGTTTGGTTATATGGCTTTATGCCTTTTATATCTTCCATTTCGTGTTTGTCTCTATGTCCCCATGTTTTATAACCTTTTCCCTTTATATTGCTTCTTTTAGTTTTTTTTTTTGTTTGGTTTGTTGTCCATGTAATTGTTTATAATAATTTACTTCAAACTAGTTTTATGTTTTTTTTGGGTAAAAGAAACCACTTTTAAGTTTTAACAAAGATAATATATAACTGAAATATATTGTTATATGGTACCGTATGATAAATTAATTAAAACATACCATAACTAACAAAAATATCAGTGATTAATTAAAACCATACTATTTATATATTTAAAATATATTAATCAAAGAATTGACCATATTTAAATAATTAGTTTTAGGCCTCTAATATACTAAGCCGGTCTTGGTGAGATCCTATGTTTACGTGAGCATGTTTTGTACCTCTTCCAATCATTTTGCTGTAAAAAAAAATTCTATAAACTTAATAAATCAACGTCTAAAACAAATTTCTTATTTTTATCAAAAAAACATTCTATAAAAATATGTAAAAATTCAGAATATCTGTATGTAAATTTTGTCATAAATATTTTTTTAATTATTTAATTAAAGGTGTGTTTCAACTCACCAAGACTGTCCTCAAAGCCACCGTAGCCATGGCCTTAACCGATCAACAGGTAAATAAATAATCTTTATAAAAAATCAAACTGATCTACTTAAGAATCAATATAACTGGTTTAATTAACTATGGTGGTTAAGTTATTAAGAACTCATCTTGTACGTGAGAGGCTAAAATATCAAGTTATATCCACTCTTGTCATTTTTTGTTGATTTGAGTTTCTTAACAATATATAATAAGTACTAGTTCAAAGTTTGTTAGAATATATTATAGGGAAATTGTTAAAAATACCCCTTTTGGTGTGTTCTTTTTCAAAAATGTCCTTTTTAGATGTCTATTTTCAAAAATGCCCCTTTTTAAATCTGAAATTTTTATAAAGTTTTATTAGGTTTATAAGGTACTTATGGATTGTAACTACTACTTGAAGACTCGATCCAAGTATTTATAAGGTTTTATAAGGTGTTTTAAAAGGTTTTACAAGTTATTTTAAAGGATTTTTAAGGTTTTTCAAAGGTTTTACAAGATATTTTAAAGGTTTTTAAAGGTATTTAAAATGTATTTATAAGGTATTTATAAAGTATTTATAAGATTTTAGATACATAGAAATGTAGTTTGTGTATGTTTTAATAATATTACATACATATTTGAGTAAATCTTATATTTTTAAGAGTATTTTTTATAAGGTTTTTAAAAAGGGGTATTTTTGAAAAATGGCATTGAAAAAATGGCATTTTTGCAAAAACTCCTATATTATATCTCACATCGAGACTTTGATAATTTGTGGGATAATATATACGAGTAAGTATGAGGCAAACAACCAAACTTTCACTCTTGAGGCAGCTTTTGGGTGTGAGTTAGGCTTATTGATTTTCTTACAAATAACGGTGTATATAATTTATTACAGGTTCAAGAAGACGATCCAAACAAAGCATCATGGATACCTTATTTATATGTGGACCCAGCCGATCCAATATGTGCAGGATACATTGATTACTTAAAACACAAAAAATTCATGTCTAAGATCGGTGCAAGCAAAATCGAGAAAGCCGGTTCTGGAAAGTCAGTTAGGTGTCTATTGCTCGAAAGAAAAGGAAAATCATCATCGTCGGATTTGTCAACGGAACCTCTTCACCTTCTTCCTTCAGCAGATATGATTGTCAACAAGAACAAACCTACTACGTCTATGACAGCTCATGGGCTTCACCAATGGTGGGAGCGAGACTCGTCACTGAGAGCAAATTGGGAGAGCCGCTGCATTAGACCCAACTCTAAAGGCAATTAATAGCAGAAATTAACCATACAATAGAAACGAGGGTCACATGTGGTTTGGTTAAATGGCTTTATGCCTTTTATGTATATATCTGGTTCAGGTTCCATTTGTTCTAATTTGTATTTTCCTTTTTTTTTGGTTCCTTCCGTGTATTGGTTGTCTCTATGTTCCCATGTTTTATACCTCTTTCTCTTTATTTTGCTTCTTTTAGTTTTTTTTTTTTTTTTGATTTTTTTCCATGTAACTGTTTATAATAATTTCTTGAGAAATTCCTAAAAATGGCCCTAAAACAAGTTTTATTGACAATAATAGCACACACTCCATAAACTTCCAAAAATAGCACTAGTTAACTTACTATTAGTGTTTTTGTTCTAAAAATTTTATCACTAGTTTTTTTTTCAATAATACCACAACTTTTATATAAAAGCTATTCAACAAAATAAATTAGAAATAAATTTAAAATATTATATTTGGGTTCCCTATTTCCAATTTAGGGTATATATTTCTACCATTTAAAAGAGATTTTGATTCATTTTAATATTAGTTTATGGTATTATATTTGGGTTCCCTATTTTCAATTTAGGATATATATTTTCACCATTTAAAAGAGATTTTTATTTTAATATTAGTTTGTGGTATTACATTTGGGTTCCCTATTTCCAAATTAGGGTATATATTTCCACTATTTAAAAACAATTTTGATTCAATTTAATATTAGATTAGTGTTTGCTCTCTTTTTTATTTTCTATCTTATATTTTCATTAAGTTTAATTGAAGTTTATGGTGCTATTTGTGAAACTTTTCAAATGAGGTGCTATTTTTGGAAAAAACAACTTTTTGGGGCTATTTGTGTCAATCTCCCTAATTTCTTTATGTTTTCTTTAACAAAGATGATACAATATATAATAACTGAAATATAATGTTATAACCGTGTGGTTAATTGATTAAACCATAATTAACAAATATATAAGTGATTAATTAAAACCATACCATTTACTCTATCTGTTTCAATATATAAGATGTTTTAAAGTGTCTATTTTGTTTCAAAATATATGATGTTTTCCAATTTTCTATGCAACTTTAAATATATTTGATATTTTATGACTTTTTGTATTTTGCAGTCTATTTTCTAATTGGTTGAATTTTTTAAATAAACTCTTAAATGATAGTTTTAAAAGAGAAAATAAATTTTCTTAAAATATGTGCCTTTAACCCAAACATCCTATATTTTGAAATAGAGTGAATATGATATTTAAAATATATTAATACAAATAATTGATCATATTTAAATAATTAGTTTTAGGCCTCTCATATATATATATATATATATATATATATATATATATATATATAAATATTTGAAATAACCAAAAATTTTTGAGTGTACATCATTTTATATGGTTTCCTTCCAAGTGTTAATCGAACCGACGATCTTTAAACTTTGCCTGAAAATATTTACCAATTGAGCTATTGACACTTGGTTGGCCTCTCATATATTAAGCTGGTCTTGGTGAGATCCTACATATTAGCATGTTTTGTACCTCTTTCAATCATTTTGCTGCCAACTGCATAACTTATTAAAAATGATTTATGTAAAATTTCACAAACTAAACTAGACATACATTTATAATTTATATATTACGATTGACTCGAATATGATGTCTATAATACTACAATATATATGTAAGGTTGTGAACAATATATTGTTCTGACTTATATATAGGTTATGCATGAAAATAGATTTAATGCGATCCCCTCCTAAAATGTAACAATCGATCTCTACTATTCATAAAAGAAAAGTATATAAATTTGTGTAATGAAAAAAGGAGAAGTAGATTCATATATAAATTTGTGTAATGTGTAATCCTTTAACAAAAAAATAAATTTGTGTAATGAAGAAAAAGGAGAAGTAATTTTGGAGTTGCCCATTGTGCAACTCTCTTCTCCATCTTATATATAAAATTATCTAGAATTTATTTATAGTTTTGGTGACAACTTAAATCTCTTTTACATTTCTTGCATCAATAAAGTTATTCAATTTCCAATCTCGTTTATCTCTTTTAGTTAGCTCTACAAAACCTAGAATAAGCTTGGTTTGGATTCTTCTACATCGTGATCATGTCTGCTATATATAATTAGTGAAGTTTATGATGTGAAGACTCTTCAATTATGATTGGCTACAAATTGGGTTAAATTTCATTTTCTAATGGTCAAACAAAGATGATAATGTATATAGTAAAATCTTTTTTTTTTTTTTGAATTTAATGTTAAATTATATTCAAAAGAAAAATAAACGTTTCTACAACTCAATGCGATGCAATTCAAAACATTTTTGAAACTTTGAAAAGAAAAACTGAGTCTTCTCTATAGCCTTGACGCAAACCAAGCGTGGATGCCGCTTGTGGCTTCTCCCCCTCCGATTGTGCTCAATCGGTTTCGTACATTTTTATCGATCAACTTGACAAGTATTTCCGTTGGTGAGGGCTGTTCACCATGTCTCCTTCTATTCCTTTCACTCCAGATTAAATGAATGGTGTTTTGAAATGTGTACTTGAGCAGGAATGTTTTTGTCTTATCAATGCCTTCTCCTTTGAGAAGTTTCATGATCTCTGGCCAGCTCTCCGAGAACTTATCCAACAAAAGCCCCTGAACCAATTCTTTCCAAACTGTCTTCGAATACGGGCACGTGAAGAACAGATGATCTCTGGTTTCCATAGGTACACCACAGAACACACAGCTCGTGTTTGAGTTCTGCTTCCATGTCAACATTCTTTCCCCTGTTGCGATCCTGTTTTTAAACACTAGCCAAGTGATAAATGCATATTTTGGAGTCGCATGTGTGAACCATATCTCCTTGGACCCCTCCATCATCGGTTTCGCAGTGCGGATTTGCTCCCAAGTTTCTCTGGTCGAGAATCTCTTGCGATAGCAGCTGTTTTTTCCTTTCCATAGAGCCGTATCTGTCTCATTTCCTCTCAGCTGCAGTCTTGTTTTTTTAATTTCTTCTTCAACACGGTTCAGCACTTCCTGGCGATGCTTTCGTCTTCTAGACATTGCTATCACTTCCTTCACTGAGCTAGATAAAGGGATCCCCAAATCAATACAACCTCGCCCACCTAGCTTCTCCTTAAGGCATCCTAGGTCAGACCATGTGTCGTGCCAAAAAGATGTGGTTTCTCCATTCTTAACGTCAACTCTATGAAACTGTCTTGCGATATCACGATACTTAAGCAACTTTC